CAGCCATGAAGGATTGAAAATGTGATTGAATAAATAAAGCACAAGTATTGCTCAGTTTTCTGGTGCCACCCTGTGCTATCTCAAAAGCCCATAAGATACTCTCCTGGGGGACTCTGAACATTCAAGCATGGTATTTCCTTGTCTCTTGCCCCAGCCCCATCATGGGTCATGCCTTCTCAGAGCTGCTGCATAAGGCAACAAATAAGGTAGATGGAAGGAAGGGTCTATCATTTTACAACTCTTTCGAGTCAGATTGGACAACTGGGATTCTGAAATCCCTGCTTAGCAGGTGCCTAACATTTCCAGTACCTCCAGTTTTGATGCTGAATCTTCTGTTAAGTTCTGTTTCTGGGAAGTACCGTAGTTTTAACAAGGCACTCTCAGGTTTGACAGGAGGAGGTATGGGGATGAGAGAGGATGTGGGGGAAATAGAGCCTTGCCTATTCTCCTCCCTGCATGACCCAATGTGCTGCATTCTGGGAGTAAGTTAACAGTCTGGAAGAAGGAGACAGAGAGGGGAAGCAGCCTTTATTTATTGCTCCAGTAGCCCATGGAAGGAGAAGTTACAGAGAAAATCTTCTTCGCTCCAAACAGGATGGATCATAGGATGGCTATCAGCCTACAATTTGATGTGCCCATAAGAAAAGAAAATGAAGTGCTAGGAGGTGCCCATAAAAAAAAGGAAATGAAATGCTTATACAACTTCACAGATTCTGGGTTACTCTCATACTCTCATCCATCCTCTCTAAAGCACTAAGCACCCTGCTGATGTCTTGTGCACTCCCATCTCAGGGAAGCAGTCAGATACCATAGTGATGGGCACTGTTTGCAAAGCAGATAGATTAGATAGGCAAACGGATGCATTTTACAGCGGGTCTGGAAAGTTACGGGATCTGGGCCCTAGCACAAACAGGATAACACTTGCCACCGGGAGAGGAATTTCCCGTAGAGGTAGTTATTACCGTCATTATACCAAGTGTCACCTGGAACACATCCCCAATTCTTGTTGTCCGTGATCAAGAAAGAGGAATTCAGACTGGAACAGGTTCAGAATAGGGCAGTTAGAATGACAGGGGAATGGAGAGTCTGTTTGTGAGTGAGAGTTAGAAGAGCTTGTCTTGTTTAGTTTAGCAGAACAAAAGCTGAGATGGGATGCGTTTGCTCTCCATAAATACGTCACAAGAGTAACACCAGAGAGGGAGCAGAGCTATTTAAGCTGTGTGTCAGTATTGGCACAAGAACAGATCGGTGTAAACTGCCCATGTCGGAAATCAGAAGGTTTTTAACCATCCAAGGAGTGAGGTTCTCCAAGGGCCATCTGATGGAAATGAAGAGTCCTAACAGCTTTTAAGATCAAGCTTGGTCAATTTATGAAGGGGATCATATAACAGGATTGCCTGTGGTAGCTGGGGCCTGGACTCAATGACTTGGGATGCGCTTCCAGTCTATGTGCTACGCCTGTTTTGTGGGCTGGATGAAAGGATTTGTGAACATGGACACAGGAGGGAGTGGGAGAGGAAGACTGAAAATCGAACCTGTTTGTATAAAGCGGTGGCAGTCTTCCAGACCCCCTCTGACTGACTCTGGATGAGGCAGAACCCATGACGGGATAACTCAGGGGACTCCTCTACCAGGAAAACGTTAGCACCGGGGAAGGGGAGAAATCCTGGCCCCACTGAAATTTGCAGCAAAGCTTCCATTAACTTCATTGGGGCCCAGATATCATACTCCGCAAGAGGAGTCAAAAGGACACGTACATCTTCAGAGACATCGGGTAGCTCATTAAATACAGCTGCTGCCTTGCTCATCTATCAGTCATTGATAAAACAGTGCCTTTTAAATATAAGCTGTGGGTAAACTTGACCACAAAAATCAAAACATTTCCCTCCCCCAGCCTTTCAAGGCAAACCTTTCTGTTTTCATCTGAGGTAAACAAAGGAAGCCACAATATTTAAAAAAAAACAAAAAACCTTCTAAAGACTTGGCATTACGTCTAATTAATAGATTAAAGTACAGAAATGCTTTTAACATGTTTTTTAATTGGCAATGATAAATGCACTTGAACTTTGGTGCTCTAGTAATGTGTTTCTAAATTGTGTACAAGTTACATTCCTTCTTGTCAGAAGCCCCTTTGGATTTCAAGGAGTATTGTGCTCTGGCCAGACCCTTAGGCACTGCTATGTTTAAAATCAGACTTAGGCACCATCCTGCAATAGTTTCAATTTTAGCAGACCCTCTGAAACCCCCTCAAGTGAGTAGGGCTCAGCTGGGCACAGAGGGCACACTGCAAGTACCTGTCACTACACCTCACTTAAACCTTGTAGGAGGATGGGTGCAAGGCGGAGGCAAGCGTCTTGTCTGTGCTAGGGCCCAGATCTGGTGACTTTCTGGACCTGCTGTAAAATGCATCCATTTTTCTATCTGCCTTTGCAAATGGTGCCCATCACCATGGTATCTGACTGCTTCCCTGGTATGGGAGTGCACGAGACATCAGCAGGGTGCTTAGTGCTTCAGAGAGGATGGATAAGAGTAATCTGGAATCTGTGAAGCCGTATAATGAATGTCCAGCACCGTGGATTTAGGGTTGCCAAATCTGTTTGAATCTATTCCGGGAGGTTTCATCACATAATTGATTACGATGCATAGACTTTACATCGGGAAGGCAAATGCACATGGCTATTAAAACCCACTGGACCCCTGTATAAATCGGATTCAACATTTAATATGTATTTTAATGAATGCCCATTCATTGATCTCCTGGGTGACTCTCAGCAGTCTCCTGGAGACGTATGTCTAATTCCCCGAGGCTCCAGGGCAATCCTGGAGGGCTGACAACCCTATGTGGACTGGGGGCAGGAATCATGCAAATGACTGAAAGTAGTGCTTTAAATCAAAAACAGAAATGCAAAGCAACAAACCAAAAAACAAAAATCAAGACGGGATCTAAAACAGAAATGCAAAACAATAAACCAAAAAAAAAAATCAACAAGGTTGTTTTCTTGTAAGCATATATATGCTCCTGTCTGATCACAATCAGCTAGTCTGGGCAGGAAGAACAGAGATTGCTCTAGCTGAATTTTCTCCGGTCCCTTAATTGGTTTTGAAGCTCCCCGAGTACTTTGTGCACAGTCCCTTGCACACGATCGCATCCCCCTCTTATGTGTGCGCCGTGCAAGTGTCTGCTCAGTTCCCCGCTGGCTGAGGACAAGGTAGGTCTGCGCAGCTCCGCTCTCCCCGGGAAGCGCTGCCTGGGGCAGGTCTGGTACGAGCCTCGCTGCGGAAAGTCAGTGCAGAGAAAGTCCTGGGCATGGAGCAGAGCTTTTTCTTTTTCTTTTTCGTGTCTCTCTTGCAGTGGCTGGGCAAAAAAGTTTTCAGAGGCGCTTGCTCTGCCAACCATGTGCTGTGAGATGAATGAGACCAACCCTTTGCTGCAGGGAGGGCTGGAGGGATTTGATTCCTGTCTTTTTCTTTGTTGCTGAAGCAAATTCAGTGGCTTGCAGGGCAGTGTTGGGAGGCTGCTTTTAAAGGAGAGCTGTTGGCTGCTCTGAGTCACATAGGTACAAGGACTCCTTTCTCTTCCCTCCCCTCTTCGCTGGGCAAAACTATCCTAAAAGTTGTAGGGACTTCTAAGGGATTCCTGGTAGCAAAGCCCAATGGACTTTAATAATGCTAAACTTTTGTGGTAAGTGTTTTTTTTAAGTGTTTCACCCCCTTCTATAAGAGGGAATTTGCAGAGGATTTTGTAGATTTGGGTGAAGCAAAGAAACAAGGTAAGAAACCTCTAGATTGTAAAACTAGAGCCCTGTAGCCTTTTAGTGCCATTCCTAAAGAACACTTCTACCTCCAGGCAGAATCTGTCATGAATGGCATAAATCTCTTTCCATGAGGGGGAAGCGGACGTGCGTTCCGATATTTTCCTTAATTTTGAGCTCTGATCTATTATACGAGTTCCTGGTGAGAACAGCCCTGTAGTTTGAGAGTCTGCTCCGTCTTTTCTAGTCACGGAGGGTCTGGCAAGTGTAAACCTGGTCTCGAC